ACAAGAGTAGAAAGCTGCTAAAATGAATAGTAATTTAATGATATCTAACATTTTAACGCCCACAGACAAAACCTTATGGCACTTGATTCTTCAAGTCATTCATACATTTATTGGAGTATCTTTTACAGACCGGAAATGTGTGATGTGTTGTTTACGATATTCAGGAAATTGAATTTAATACAACTTCAGCGATGACTAAGCTGCTGCATCATTGACCATCGATGGAAACTGAAAAACCTCTAAAACTGACCACAGGCTTGTGGTAACAAGTCGGAATGACTCATAACTAACCAGTTACCGTTGTAGCACCAGAGACACGAAACATAAACATGTTATATGAATCAGATAAGAGCTTGTTGATGTGGTCGATTTTACATCTTTTAAATTAAAGACTCTACATTTCAGCTTATCTGGACTGCATCAAATGGAACGAGTAGTAAATAAGAAGGTGGAAACGAGGCCTTGCAGTGATTAAATGAGGCGTGAAGAACATTATGCACAGTTACCTGCTCGTGGATACACGAGCTGAAAAGGTTAACAGGGTAATCTTGTTAGACTGAACACTGCTGTGTCAATATTTTGACAGAAGCACGTCCTCGTCTTAAACGCAGCTCTAAAGTCTTTCTTTCATTCTTTTCCCATCAAGTTTCTTAACTTCGCCGAAGCTGTAAAATGATTACGCTTACAAAGCCATGATTCACAGTGGCATTAAATGATGAAATCTATATCCCTGTAATCTCTCGCGTAAAGGCCAGACACATTAGGGAGTCATAGCAGAGCAGCTTGACATACAGTAGATTTAAGTCTAGTTTATTGAGACACACTGTATAACTGCAACACATCAACGTAATCCCTCCATCTAATCTTTGCCAAGTTTACTGTACATCTGCTGTTATTATCCCAGCATCCATCACTGCAGGTGTGGTGGCTGCAGCCAGTTTGGCAGACGTCCTGCAGCTGGCTCTCCAGCAGGCTCGCACGCGTCTTATTATTTATGCACATTACCGGCCATTTATAATACAATATGTCCAAGCATGATCAGGGAAATCTGTCTCGATGCGTCCTACTACTGCAGCTTTGTTTGTGTTTCTAATTATCTGACTATACGTCTTTAAAAAACCTTGTGAAATATTTAATATTCTTTATTCCAAGTGAGAAACTAAAAGATAACACTACATTTTCCCCAACACTGATTTTTAGCTAAATGTATATTAAAAGAAAATTCTAAAGCCATTACACTGAATTACACATTTACATATTTTGTCATTTTTCTTTAATGAGTCACTTTGTGCATATCATCAACGAGGCAAACTGTCGGGTGTGCATTGCGACGTGGCACTTACGATTAAATCTAATATTGAAGGTTAGAATATTCCTGGTTTCTCTTCTAAATGATGATTCTTTGCTTCATTTATCAGAGTCAGCGAAACAAGGCAGCGAAAATAACTGCTCACTGTTCCCTGAAGGAACCCGCACACTGTGTTATCCCAAAGACATTCAGTACTTCCTCAGTTGAATGCGATTTATTCAGAACAAAGGGCAGAGGCAGAACATGTTAAAATTTAGTCTGAAATGTCGGAAGGAGTTGAAATCTGTAGGTGTGTGTGTGCATATGTACAAACAGTATGTGCAGGTATTGTGCAAGACATAGTGTAATGCATCAAGGCACTTTAGTGCAGCTCTTATCTCCAAACCCAAGATTCCTGTCCTTGTGTTTATCTGATGTTGCTTCTCAATAAATATTTAACAAGAACAGGAGTCTTACTTTTTCTGAACCAAAAATTTGACCCAAAGGCTCCAATGGATGTCGAGTTATTTCAGAAGAGAAGTGGAAACGTCAGAAAGATTCATTGTGTGTGAATCATGTGTGAATCATGAATGCTTGTCCAAAGATTTCATGGCAACCCATGTCATAGATTAGGTATTTTTGTCAGGGCCAAATGCTGACGTGCACACATTGTCATCACCACAGACTCTAACTCTATAAAGATGGACGACATGACAGCTCCCAGACGTGAGTCCGAAACATCTGTATGTAAAGCATTTCTCAAAGATGCTTTCCGTCATTTCAGGTGGTTCTTACCACGCTGCTGTTTGCTCGAGGAAGGCTTGGCGATAACACAGTATCAAACATGATGTTTTGCCAGCAGATAAGAAGCATTGTGTGTATTTGAGATGATGTTTCCAGCTGTAAAGTTTTACAATCATGTGTGTGTGAGACATAAAAGCAGTCGTGAGGTGCGACTGAGACAACGGAGGATCACTGAGGAGGTGTTAATAATTGAGGAACGTAGCTGTACACAAATCGCAGACAGGAGCCGAGCGAGTGTTTTCTCACAAGCCAACCACAGTGTGTTTTATTGGGTGCTTCAGTAATACAAGTGCACAACAAACCACTCTGCAATCGCAGAGGTGGCGGGTAGCCAGTAAATATACAAGTCCTGCCTCTTTCACAGGCAGACCTATACTTTTGTGGTCTGCCTCAAAAGCCTTTGAAAAAATACATACAGTACAAACAAAATCAGAGGAGGTTAAAAAGCATGAAGGATCCATTGACGCAAACCTTCCTGTTCCATGCAGATAACATGTGGATGACAAATACAGAGAAAACAAGGAAAACAAAGTAAAAGCATATCTTCTGCATGTTTGTTCCAGGTGCCACTAAGAAAATGAGAATACATACTGTAGAGCTGGAGGACGAAGCGTATGATAATTATAATATTCTGTTTTTTTTTTTCTCCAATACAATACTTCCAACATTCAGATATTGGAAAATAAAAATCCCGATCTACTCTTTGTATAAAAAAGAAGCTTTCAAGTCAACGAGGAACAGAGGACTTTTT